AAATGGCTCCACTCTTTCCTTGGAAAATGTGGTTTACAGTCCACACTTCTCAAAGAGACTTTGTTCTTGAAATATGCTTCTAGAAAGGGGATATAGAAGCGAAGCAACTTCATACCTGATGGCCAGATTCTAGTTGAAGCACAATTAGCTTCACCTAGTTCACCATTACATTGGTTTGTGGGCATTCCACTTCCACCCTCCAATGCTTTTTCAGTCCTTTGCCCAATGGTCACAATGGATGCCAAATTACTTTGGCACAATCAGCTGGCACATCCTGCCAACAACATCATGCATCATTTACACCAATTAGGTCTTCCTGAAATTCCCTTACATGGGATTCAGTCCTGCAAGGGCTGTGCACAAGGCAAAATGACTTTGGAGTCATTTAAACCTTCCTGGAAACGTGCAACTCACCCTTTGGAACTTGTTCATGCTGACCTTTTGGAACTTCCCATTGAATCCTATTTTCAATCCAAGTATGTTCTTACACTGCTTGATGACTACTCTTCCTTCAGCTTCTGCATCTATATGCAGAATAAATCTGATACCTACCGACACTTTGCCAACTGGCTTCTTGCTATGCAATGCCAGCTTAATCTCAAACTGGGTACTCTCCATTCAGATCGAGGGGGAGAATTCATGGGAAATACTTTCAAAGTGCTCCCCACTTCAAGAGGAATTGCTCATCAGCTCTCTATAGCTGATCAACCACAACAAAATGGATGTGCAGAACAATTTAATAGAACTATACTGGAGAAATCTGGAGCAATTCATCATTATGCCTGTGTTCCAAAGAAATATTGGAACTTTGCTTTTGACTGTGCACTACATGTGTACAACAGAACACTGCTCAAGAGAATTCAATTCAAGACACCAGCTGAATTATTCACTGGCAAAATTCCAGATATTTCTTATTTCCACACATTCAGTTGCAAAGCCTATGTTTGGGTACCAAAAGAACAGAGAAAAGATAAATTGGACCCACATGCAATCGAAATGATATTTCTAGGATATGAACCAAAAACAAAAGGCTACCAATTTCTTTATGGCCATAAGGTCATTCTATCTCGTACTGCCAAGTTTGTAGAAGACTCCTTTCCATTCTGTTTGGATAGTATTCGAAGAAAATCCAATACCTCAAATGACCCAGATTCTGAAGACAACCAATCATCTGGTTCTAGCAATTCTGATGGAAACCTACCAGACTTTGGGATTGATCCTCCCAACCTTGGACCTCATCCAGTCCAACCACAGAATCCACAACAACCTCCTCATAATCCAAACCCACAACAGGGTGGTCAACAAAACAGACCAGCTATACCTCCTCCAAGACCACACAGAGCACCTGTTGTTCCTCCCAATCTTGTTCAACATCCTCACCAACCATACCCTGTTCCCGGTGATAATAGAAGTCTTCAAAGGGCACACCCAGAACAAACTGAACAAAGGGAACCTCATCCTAAACTGCAGAATAATTCCTACTTCTCGACCTGATAACATCTATGGAGCTAGACCTCCTGTTCAGATCGAAAGGGATATTCGTGAAAATAGAGATACTGCTCAGGAGTGGATCAGGAATGCTGAGCAACATGCTCGCAATACAAGGGAGCAACAAAGAGTTATACAGGAAGAAAGGAGACCTCCCTCACCAGTTAGGCCTCAGGCTCCTTCTGTTCCAAGGGAATGGATCTCACATCCTCCCATGTCTCCCTTGACTCCTTTACCAAACTCAACCATTCCACCTGAACCTGAAGCAGGTCCTTCTTGAACCGCACACATCAAAGAAGAAGAAGAAGACCAGAAAGGGTATTTCACTAATACCTTTGAATTCCTTCTTGCCGCATGTGTTAAGGAATCTCCAGAACACTATAAAGATGTCCTAAAATTAAATCTGGAACTCCAGAAAAAGTGGTTTGACGCTATGAAGGACAAGATTAAATCTATCAAGGAAAGGAATGTTTGGACTCTTGTGGATCCAAAACCAGATTGCAAACCAGTCAAATGCAGATGGGTTTTTGCTATAAAAAGCAATGGTTGTTATAAAGCTCATCTTGTGGCCAAAGGTTTCACACAAGAATTCAGAACTGACTTTGAAGACACCTTCTCACTGGTCACTCATTTTGAGACAGTGTGAATTCTACTTTCATTCGCTGCTCAACAAAACTGGGAAATGAGCGCCCTGGATGTCAAGACTGCCTTTCTCTATGGCAATCTGGATGAAGAAATATATATGGAACAACCTGAAGGCTTCAAAGTTAAAGGTCAAGAGCACAAGGTTTATCAGTTGCTGCGCGCTCTTTATGGCTTAAAGCAAGCAGCATTAGCATAGAACAAAGCCCTACATGCTTCCCTACTTCACATGGGCTTCATTCAATCCAAAGTGGATGCAGGGATTTATATCTTTAAATCCAATGCAGGCATGGTCATCTTTCTCGTCTATGTTGATGATGGACTATTTTTAGGATCTCATCCTAAAACTTCTAAAAGCAAAGAAAGATGAGTTTATGAAGAAATGGGAATCACAAGATCTAGGTGAATGCAAAGAATATCTAGGTCTTCAGATCCACAGAAACCATGCTAAACATGAGATCTACCTGGATCAGATCCCTTATGTCAAAAAGGTGATCAAACGATTCCAAATGGAGAATGCACACAATGTTCACACTCCACTTCCCTCTGGCTACCAACCAAAGAAACCCGAAGCTACTTATCAAGCTTCTTCTTCACTTTGATCCCAGTACCAATCTATTATTGGATCTTTACTTTATATGGCTTTGGGAACTTGCCCAGATATTGCTTTTGTGGTTATTCACATGTTGCAATACATGGCCAATCCAACAGAAGATCACAAACAAAAAGCACTTCATATAGTCAAATATGTTGCTTCTACCCCGAAGCTTGCACTTTATTATTCTGGGACCGAACCTCGCATCTTTGGATTTGCTGATTCTGATTGGGCTGCCAATGTGGATACTTGTCATTCTACTACTGGATATGCCATGTTTCTTGGCACCTCCCTTATTTCTTGGTGATTGCACAAACAGAAAACAATTGTGCTTTCATCAACTGAAGCCAAATATATGGCTTTATGTGATTCTGCCAGACAAATCAAATGGCTTAATATGCTTTTTGATGAACTTGACCTAAAATTAGAGAAAACTATTCTCTACTGTGACAATATGGGTGCTCGCTTCATAGCTGAGAATCCTGTCTCAGATGGTCGTTCAAAGCATATAGATGTCCAGTGGCACTTTGTTTGTGAATGTGTTCAGGATAATCTCTTTGCCATTGAATATATCCAAACAGACCGACAAAAGGCCGATGGATTAACCAAGTCTCTCATGTGGCAGAAATTCAAAATGAATCGCTCATCGCTTGGTCTCATTACCTTGCCATTCTAGAGCGAGGGGGAGTGTTGGAAATACTGGTTAACAGTGTTTCTCATTACCAGTTCTAGACTTGCTTATTAGATGAGTTTTACTCATATGATGTCACTTTACTCCACTTGTTCCACAATGTTCCATGACATTCATTACTATACATAGTAGGTAGTAACTTTACTTACCATATGTGTCACCTGGTCTGTGCACATTCCTACATGTATATAAACAAAGGGGTTTCTGTCATATCCCCTCAGTTCAGTTCAGTTGAGTACAGTTCAGAATTCACATCTGTTCTTCTGTCTATGAGCCTCAACAGCTCTATTCAAATACCATTTACTTCCAACACTCTATCCAATCTTAAAGGCAAGTGCTCGTCTTTAGCTCTCACCCTTTTCCCCTTGTCCCTCATTCCTCTGCCAATATTCTGTTCATGTGCATCAGACTTGCTTCTGTATCACTCCTCAGACCCTAATTAGTGTCAGAGTTGGTCAGAGTAGGCCTGGACTTGACACTCTGGATCACATACTCAACATTCTCATCACAGCAGCTAATTTGGAGCATTTGCTGAAAAGCATCATTCCAGACTGGACAAGAACACCACTGTCCATAGGTGCAGTATCTGCATCTGCTGCCCCAAAACCCATGACAGCACCTTCACTTCATGCACAAATACTCATAGGAGCCTCAGTGTCAAGGCAATATATAGTTGACATGGTAATAATATCCTGGATGCCATCAGGCCAGGTCTTTGTTGCCAACAATCATTCAGGGTTTTAGGACCGTTAACTCCGGTCACGTGGTCGTTTGCGGGAGGGGGGCGAATTGGATTCATTTGTATTTTGTAACCTTTACGTCACTAAACATCGAGCTCACGACCTGGAGGCACATCTTGTTGATTGTGCGTTATCATGGACAGTGGCGTGCGCCACTTGTATATTGCCATTGTTGACGTCGGCGACGATGCTGCGATTAGTTATGAGTTTGTCCGCCGAGAGTATACGCTCGAGCGTGTAACTTTGCAGAATGATTTCAGGGGGGGGTGTACCCTGCAGGTTCGTTGTTGGTGTGTCGTGCAAGCACTGTTCGAGAGATTGTCGAACAGCACCCTTTCTGGGGACTAAGGGATCTAAAGTGTGGACCGCCACAACGTGGTTCTGCACGACCGCTTGCACCGTCAGTTGCGTGTGGATGCACTCCGTAGTCATACGTGCTCAGTTACTTGTACGTCGCTACTACATGTGTTTCAACAGTTAAAACATGCCTAGCGAGGGAAATGTCTCGCTCCTGTATTGCAAGCAGCTACATCGCCGGCTTTCGATTCATCTCCTGTGAGGGGACCGACCACCCACCCTGCGCGTGCAGGACCTAAATCCGATCCCTCAATGACCGGGGGTGGTTGTCGCTCGACTTTGCTACCATTCCCCGCCGTGGCGCTGACCCCACTAGTACTGCTCCATTCTCTCGCTTGGGTATCGTCGACGCCATCTGGACACTCGGAGGAAAGTTTGCAGGTCGTCGTCATTATGCGTCCCGCAGATCCTCCACGTCATCAAAGATTGCTCGTACGTCCTGCTGAAGCCAAACCTACCACAACTGACTGTTATCTACCATCCTACGTAGTAACAAAAACTATTTTGTGGCTTGAGCACTGACATTCCTACTCCGTCTCCCCTAACGTACGGACCAACCCAATTACATAATAATTAGAAATACTTATACTTAGGAATTTGATTGCGTGCTTTATTCATATGCATCCAGGAGCGCCCAAAGGGCTTTGGTATGCACATGGTTTCTTTGTACATACACGGATACTGTAGCTACAGATCCACCCACGAAAAATCCGCCTTATAGTGGGAAAAAAAAAAAAAAAGAACGTGTCAATGTGTCAATCGAAAAAGACACAAGCAAACTAAAAAAAATATAACAAATCGTGGAAATGCGAAAAGAAAAAAATAGTTGTGCCGCAGAAGACGAAAAACCTAGCTACGCACACTGAAATGCGCAGGAGGCATAAGAGTTGATTATGGTAATTACTCCCTGCTTCCTATGATACGCAGGAATAACTTAGTCCCATATCGCATGACGGCTTGATCCCACTCTTCCTGGGATGCCACGAAATCAAGGGCGGCTTTCTTGCTGTCAGCCGACGATACCGATTCCGGGCGTTGGAATCCTCGTTCTATGGTAGATTGCACCAAGACTGCGATAGCGAAGGATTGGGAAATAGGAGACCGCTCCTGTTGGACGAATTTGTCGTAAATCCTCTTGCGAAGGTCTGTAAATGGTAATACACGCGGCACGCGCAGCATTATTATGCTCTCTTCGTGTACCGCCTTGATGGAAAGGACCGTCCCCTCGTGACTCGACGCGGTCGAGTGGCTAGAGACAGAATGCGATAATGAAGAGCGTCTACCAGAGCGCCTGTAAGGGACACTCTGAGAGAGTCCGAACACATCACCTCTAGGTGTATCGACAACATCGCTCGGAAATGGGGACTGTGGAATTGAATCTACATGACACACGTTAAACAAAGATGAACATTGGCGTGTATGTGAAACACACCGTAGAAATAAGCGTCGAGAAAATCATCCCCTTCATCAGGCTCGTCATGGTCTACCCACGGCTCGTCGTCTGCGAGGATGAAGTCGCCCCCGGGATATGATATCATCTTCCGGCGATCAACGGAAGCACGGCGTGGAGAACGGGGCATCACAGCATCCACACCCGATCCTGGCATGACTGAAGATGCCACGCTACACATCGAAGCTCTTGGACGGTGCTTGCTTTCTGGGTTAGGAGTGGGTAGTGTATAGTCGACGCCGAGCTCCTCAAGATACGTCGTCGCCCGGGATGTCGCCGTAGAGTGCGTCGTCTGCCACGAATTTCTTGGGTATCCGTTTGTAGGCGCTATGAAGTTGTCAGCGTAAGGCGTTCAGATGAGATATGCAATTGCAGTGCACTCACAATGACTGCCAGACCGCTGTTGCTCCCCGGACTCAGATAAAGCGTCAAAGCCACGAGAGAGCGGGAGCGATCCGTATATCCTCGCATTGCGGTGGGCCCCGGTAGTAGACTCAGCCCTCCTCCGCGGACGTGAACTCTGTTCACCTGATTTACCAACAGGTCCTGAAGATAGTTCACGGTCTTCTGGCAAAGATTCCAACAACGATGTCGGCCTTTCTGGGACAACTGCCTCTGGCATATGTCCAAACCTAATTGGTACGTCTTGAGCAGCAACTACGGTCTGACGGGAAGTTGAAGAAAGGTGGCGAGGGGGAGAGGTCGGCGTCGACGGCAAAGAGGGTGACGTAGGAGAATTGTTAGACGAAGAATTGGACCACGGGATGCTCTCTGAGGATTGCGCATGAGCCACAGTCCTGCGGAGCGCCGGTACATTGACGGAACTTCCAGAGGAGGAGGACTCAGAAACGATAGAGGACCGCCGAGCGGATTTCTGCGGTGATGCCTTTTTACTTGGAGAATGAAAGAAATCCGGAAGGGACGGGCTAGAGGCGGAAAAGTACACCGACACTGAACCAATTGTCATCGAGTCGGGATCCTTGCCCTGTCTTCTTGCCAGGTCGTAATCCCTTCTCCAGTAACCAAAGAAATCCGTGAAAGTACGGGTTTCTCTCAACTCCCTAATGAGAGCCGGTATGTCCTCATCGAAGAACGCGGAGATCATTGCTTTGAATTCTGATTGTCGCTGTTGAATAGTGGCCTGGCTGGCACGAAAAATGGTCGCCTTCTTCGTCAACTTTGGTATGTACTGGTGAATGTCCTGTGCCACCGAGTGTGGGTCTGGACCTGGTGGAAGAGATTCGAATGAAGCGGCTTGGTCCCCATGCATGTAAATGCCGTTTTTCTTAATACCCTTGCCGGCAGCGAGGCGGTTTCGTTTCTCCCTTGCCATACGCGAATATGCAACTTCGAGGGTCTCCTGAAATTGCAGACAGTCCTCCCACCTTCTCCAGATTACGTATCCACGAGAACCGCTGTTGCGCGTGGAAATGGAGGCTCCGTCATCCTTGATTGGGGATACTCGAAGGCCGTAGCTATGGCTACCACCTACGGGGGAGGTCAATATATCCCTGAAGGTGGATACGATTGTATGTTTCACCTTGCTTTTCAGGTAGAAGTAGCTCCACATAGAAACGGGGAGGTGCACTTCGGTAGACGGCGCGTTTCCAAGCCTGGGTGAAACTAGTTAGACAGGGGAAGGATACTTAAGACAAATGACAATGCAGCGTACCTCTGGAGAGATTGGGCCGCCTGTTGCACCAGCACCGGTCTACGGAAATTTAGTTTGCACAGAGCGTAGTGGATACTAATGCCGCTTACCGGAAAATCCATCGTTAAGACAAGGGGATCAAAGCAGGGACTGGGTTGGGCTGGGATGGAAGAGAGAAAAAATTGATATCAGCGATTTCGGTGACGAGCCAGTAAACGGAGAGGAGATCCGCCGAGGTCAGGGAGCCAGGAGGAGAACAGGAGGTGTCGCGCGCGTATATAATGTCACTCGTCAGGGAATGTGCACGTTGAGGCAGAGGATGAAAATTCTAGGGAACGAAGGTTCCACCGAGAAGCTCCTAACGGATCCAGGATGAGCATATGGAACTATGAGACACGATGGCGATATGCATTACCGGCAGCAGAATTGACCGGAATCTCTGTAAGCCAGATGAAAAGCTGCGTAATCCAGGACGGGTATGATCGGTGAGACAGTGGGAGAGGAGGAGAAGGGAGTATGGAAGAGAGATAAGTAAAGACGGCCACGAGCCCGACACCTTTTTTGCTAGGACGTGCCAACTCCATATTGTTCTTCTGCCAGACTCGTGCCAGGGAGGGACTCGGACCTCCCTGCGTAATTGTGATTAGTTACCGAATACAGCAGGCACACGTGAGACAATCCCGGCTACTGTAATCCCAGCACAACAATAAGAAAAAAACTGTCGACGGCCCATTCACCCAACTTTTCCCCATAAACACTGGTTGCATTCAATTCTCGCTGAGGTATAGACTGCCATCGTCCACATGGCTATATCCCGTATTCTTCTTCCACCACGGTGGACTCGCAGTCAGCCTTGTTTGCCGAGACACATACAGGTTGGCATTGTACCTAGATCATCATATAAGGATGCTACGTAGACGTCTGGAGGATGGCGCAAGGAGCTCATTGCTCGTGATTGTTATTGTCTACGCGAAGCAAGCGATGACTCGGAGCCATTCGCAGCACGTCCCTTATCGCCGATGATAACCACCCAAAACCAAAAATCAGATCACAGTCCACATGTCAATGACGAGTCTGGCCAACGCGTGTAGCCCCTTCTTCCCTTTTTCTCCTTCCTCACCTCGTGCATGCGAGAAGGCTATGGAGTCAGTCGGAACCCAACAACCGTTTCGAAGTCTCATTTCCAACTTCTCGAGCACGCGTCCTGCCTTCCTTCAACCTCTCCAACCCATTTTTGATACTCTCGATGTGAACTCGGACGGGCAGTTTCCCACCAATGATACCAGGAGCAGCCACGCGTTCCCGCAAGTCCTCAAGATCATCGCTCATCGCATGCAACGTCTGCAATGCCGCCATGACGTGGGCCCTCGCTTGCTTCCGGTAAACAGCCAAGTCGTTGAGCAGTGCCAGCCTGTCGTCGTACTCCCGTAGTTTTTGTTTATTTCCACCAAGCCTCGACCAAAGCTCGCCAAGAACGCGATCCTTTTCAGTACTCATATGTTTATCTTCGCGAGTGATCATGTCGTGGAGCGAGGCAATGTCCACCTCCATTTGGTCCAGATTTTGTCCGGACACTTCTGCTTCGACGATAAGACGTGCGATGGACTGTTCAGAATTGATCCATGGCAAGCGCAAATGCGCCTTGTATGATTTCATCAGCCGTTGGTCCTATCTTGATCGGAATTATAGCTTGGAGTATCGGCGAAGGCGCCTTTTCATGCGCTTCCTCGATGGTGGCCATCGCGTAACTATTCAGTGCCATCACCCTAATAATTGCTAAAGGTCAAAACGCGAATCATATCACGAAGCAAACATGAACAACACATACTCATCGACTGCGCCGGCCACCTTGGCATTCAGTTTCGTCAGTCCCCGTGCAGTTCTTTTAGCGTCGATAGAAATAGTCGATAGTAAATCGGCGACGCTCTCTCTCGACTTGAGGTCGCTGTATCGGACAAGCGTTGAAAGATCTCTGGTTGCCATCTCAGCCTTGAGTACTTCGATGGACAGAGCCGAACCGCCGACGGACTCCCCTACCAACTGGTCAAACATGGATCCTTGGGCCTTCACTAAGCCCGGGAAGTCGGGATGTTGAGGAGGGGTCAACGGCACTGGAACGCACAGTGCAGTCCTCGACATCCCAGGGATAAAGCAAAGTGGGTACAGAGCAGTTCGAAACACGTTGGTCATGCGAGAGATCAAGAGCGCCAACATCCACAGACACAGAAAAATGGACAACGGCCAGCGCATGTATTTGATGGCGACACTGACCACGTCGAGAACATACTGCACGGAGAACCGAGCACCAGCTGCAATAGCATCCTCCAGTTCCTCTTTATCTATGATAGGAGCTCTCTGGCGCTTCGGTTTCGCAGCAGGGCTCTTGGGGGGCCTAGTAGTGGTTGCGCCGGCTGCATGTTTGGCGCCTCTCCGACGCTTTCTCGGTGTATTACTTCCTATGCTTGCATTACTGGAACGGGCCTGCTCGGGAGTGCTCTCGGAATCTGAGAGATCTTCCCAATCACTGGCAAGGATCTGCAGAGCATGAGCGACCACTGCTGCTGGAAGGTAATGTAAGTGCACACCTCGGCTGTAGTAGCCCTGTCAAGCTGAGTAGGGCGTTCGTTCGGAGTTTGCATGGTGTCCAATAACTATGCCCTGACCGCACGCTTCTCCGTTGCAGGTCCGCCCCTTGCTTACTCGACGCAACTCAAGATGGACTAGAGAAGAACAAGCAAGACAGACCAATCGGTGGGCCCTCTGCCGGGCAGAGAAAGCACGGAAACCACGATGCAACATTCCGTACAGTGTGATCACGTGATACAAAGTGCTACAATAGATAGGGTACCTTTATTGGCTGCAAGTAGTACTGGTACTCACAGCATCTCGACATCCTCGTCAGAGTCACCAACGTCTTCCCAAGCTTCGCCGTTCGCCTCTTCGTCAGCCGGGGATGGATGAATTCCAAGCCCTTCCAGCGTCGTGATCAGCTCTTGCACATGTTCCATAAGGGGCTCGTCTGGGAACCCCTGCGATGAATACAACTGGAAAAACCAATCAGTGACACAATTTCCTCAGAAGTACGGGCCATTGAATGACTCGCCACCCGACATGTCTCCAAACAATCCCTTGAATCTCTAGCCATGTCCTGCCACTCTAGCTGTTCCCCATCCTCTCCAAGGCTCTCGGCAACAGTCACATCCCCTTCCTTCCTCCTTCCCGCCAACAACCACCACGACCATCCCATCAAATACCAACCATCCACGTTCGCATCGTCGGCAGCAAGCACGCCTTCGAGGAGAGACAGCGCATCGGAATAGGCATTACACTCCAACAACAATTTTGCGCGCGTAATTCGAACGGGTATAGGCAACGCGTTCAGAAGCAGAGAAGCATAACTCTGGGGATCCGTAGTACTGGTATTAAGTGAATGTGGATCTGGGGGTGGTAATGGGAAGGCACGGAGAGCTTGCAGTGCCTCCTCAGGTTTCTCCTGCGAGAGACGGACGCTAGCGAGGGTTTGCAGCGTCTCTAGATTTTGAGGGTCGACCTCGAGGGCGCGAGAGAGTAATGTATCACAGGTAGATGATGCTGCTGGATCAAAGCTGGTAGAACACCAGAATTAGACGTCGCCGATAATAGAAACGCGACGTGCCAGACGACCCAACGTACCATAAATCGTGAGATGGATCCATCCAGATCTCTATCATTCCCAAGTATGCACGGACGATGTTACTTTTGGTCTCGCTGTCATCGTCGTCATCTACGTTTGAAACTACGGGTGATTTACCCTTGAGTTGTGCGTGGAGAAGGTCGATGGCGGTCTGATAGTGAGACAAGCCAGCGTGGGGGTCATCATCGGACAGCTGCGCGAGGTGGAGGTACGCTGATGGAGGCGGAGGAGATGGAGCATCCGGGTGTGGGGGCACCAGGCTCAAAAACACCTGCCATGACGTGAGTGAGGACAAAGGTCGGTGAGCAAACCTTACCTCCTTAGCTGCATCGACTTCCTGCCAGCTCTAGCAGAACGACGCCCATCATTTCTCTAGCTTGGTTTTTCTCGGTGGGGGTGCCATCCTCCCGGGAGAGGATGCGCTCTATGAATTTGCGAGCGAGTGGATAGTCGCATTGTATGATCAGATCCTGGGCCTTTGCTAGGAGCGATGCGATGGGCGGCGGCTGGGAAGACGACGATGCGGGCTGAGACGCAGTCGAGCTGAATTTCCGCTGCTTTTGGCGTGCTCGACCCATAGATCTTTGCGAACGAGCAGTGAAATTTTGGGTCTTCCTAATCGGACAGTCTAATAGAGACGCCTACAGAATCTTTGCTAGTCGTGGTATGATGTGAAAGTACAATATTATGCCCTTGTCATTCGCGTCTCATGCAATCATAAAAGAAAGAAAAAGAAAAAAAGGGGGGAGTTCAGTCAAACCATCCAGCACGACGCATCTCCTCGCCTAGCCCGTCCCATTCACTGCTTTCTTTTACCGTACTCCCTACCATGCTAGGGGTGCTATTCGCAGCCGGACTTGCATGACCTCTGCGACCTGCAATCTCCGTAGCGAACCTATGCATTGGATAGCAGTCAACTTATCAGAGGAAAAGCGAGCCATCGAAAAATACACCATACCGAAGGCATTCGTCTAATCTCCATCGTACTCCCAAGTCTCCCACATTCCCATCCTTTCTTACATCTCCATTCGGGTTGTTTTCCGGCGTGTATGGTGGACCAGGTAAAAGGCGTCTACTCAACGCCCATATCATTCCTGCTACGAACGCAGCATGGGCACCTTCTTCGTCCAGCTCCTCCTCCTCCTCAACACGTTCAGGCTCAGGCTGTGTTCGACGAGGCTGGGGCGTGTGTCGCCCATCCTCACCATGCCCATCCCCGTCCTCACCTTCATCGCCGTCGTCGAAGGGATGGAAGGATTCTCCACTATAACGGGGATGAGGGCTTCCTTGTCTGCTCATCTCACCGGGAGAACCCACGTTGGAAGCGCTGTCGCGTGAAGCTAGAGACGTATCTGCCGCCTCTGCGCTTGCCCAAAAGTCTGAACCGGAACGCACGCTCTCGACGCCGTCCCGAGGATGTGTGCCATTCGAGGTGGTTGCAGTTGAGTTGGAGTGGGCATGAGAGGCGTTTTGCGATGATCGTGGAGGCGGGGACCAGCATGAACTTTGGAAGTACTCGCGAGTTGGAATGCTAAGGAGGGCGGCGCCTTCACGGCCTGCGTTCAGAACGAGTAGGGCGTGCGGTCGCGCATGACGAGCGAGGGAGAGCAATATTGCGCGGAGGGTGGGCGTAGAATTAGGTGACGATATTGGTGAGGACGAGAGGGATGGGAAGGTCGTGGTGCATAGAAAGATGACATCTGCATGTGGGAGAAGCTGAGGCCAAGATCAGAGGATGTAAATTGGATCCGGGAGGTAGTGGCCTACCACTTCTGCGCCCTCGCGTGCCCTGCGGCCCAGATCAATGCTGATCACACAATGGGATCGCCACTTGCGTTCTCTGGCGAGACCATCGACACCCAGTATGTTGGCGACTGTAGTGCGTATGCTGCGGCCCTCGACGTGGAGCCAGTCGAAAGGAGCGGGAGAGTGAGGTGTCTGGCTAGGGACCCTGAATGCGTGGGGAGACGGAGGAGCTGAATGTGAAGACGAAGAGGTTCCCGGACGTGCGGAGGTGGATGGGCGGGGTGCTGAAGGTGCGAGAGTGTTGGGAAAGATGGGAACAGGGGAACTCGACTGTTGTTCCCTGACGATGCCCGTTGGCGGCTGGAGTTGGTTTTGGGTATATCCGACGTAGTTTTCTGGTGCGAGGACTGGTCCTAGCAATGCGATGAAGTCTTCATGTGAGACATCCGGGAGGGGATTGTGATTGATGACGGTTCGTTCGCGGATGTCGCGGGCTTGCATGACCCATGCGGTGGGTACCCCGAGACCCGGCCAAATCTTGCAGTACTTTGTGCGGACGCCCGATGTTTCGAGTACGTCGCGCAGTCGCTGAGCTTCGGTGTTGCTGCCGAGAGACGCGATGAGCATGGGTTCGACCTCGCCCGCGGACGGGACGGTTACGCCGAGCTGAGCAAGCACAGCAAGGACATGGCCAGACGCTCCCCCACGCGATGTTTGGACTGCCTGTGCGCGCGATGCGCTGCCCGGGTGGGGGTAGGAGGGCAGGAAGAGGGTGTGGGTGAGGAAGACCGTCCCGGTTGCGAAGATGCGGAGGGGTCTCGGGGTTGGCGACAACGAGTGCTGGGGTGGGTGCATCTGCTGTGCGGTGTCCCGTCGCAGTCGGGTCATGGCATGAGTGAGTGCACCGTCGAACGAGAAAAAAAAAAGAGAGACGCGCTTACAGTTATTAGTACTACAACCTTAATCTCGGCCAGACGCCCGTTGCTGTCTCGCCTAGATCATCTGCCCTCGCCAAGAAATAAAATAAAACCACACGCTTTAAACTGGCAGAGACCTTATTAGCTCACAGCTGCACCCAAAGCTACGACCCGGACCCACTGGCACACCGCGACCCGCTGATCACCACACACGCCACGATCGCGTTGTTTATTTCCAAAGCCCTTGCCAAACACGTGCACACACAACCAAACATCCCGCCGACCTCCGGCTCTGACAGGAACGTGGACAGACACACAGGCAAGTCATGGCTTCCATCGTTGCACCACTCCGACGGTCGTATAGATCCCTTGTAAGTGTCTCAGAGTTGATCCCACAGACTTTACAATCCTTGAACACACAGCAATGGCTTGCACATGAGCGGCCTGTCATCTTCTTTTCCCTTCTAATCGGAATCTCCGGTCCTGTTCTTGCCTTCACCGTGCCCCCGATCAGGAGAAACTACTTTGGTTACGTTCCACCGGAATCAATCCCTACTACCTACCCTCGTAAGTCGTTCTTCCATACCTAACAAAAGTTTGTCATGTTCGACTTCTTCTCTCTTACAATAGTACCTCAACGACCACGGAGACCCGTAGAGGGATATGACGACGAGTAGGTTGCAGCCGGATACCAGGTCGGAGTGTACCGGTACGTTCATCCACCTTGGTCCCTTCTGGTCCTGATATGCCTGCGAGTAGACGCTGCTTTAGAGTTAGTCGATGTATATACCACGTTTGAATGTAATCACTTGCAGAGTTTTTACTCGAGATACATATGCTACTGGACTTGGCAATACGACCCGAGCCTGCGTCGCGATGTATGTATGTACATAGTAGACTGCCCAATTGGGAAGCCGATCCTTCGCAAATATTTCAGCTTCGACTCGACGTTTTGACCATGAACGTCCTCCGCAGTGCTCTAAACTGTTCAATTCGCCGCACACGTGGACCTGTACGACCAACGGGACTTTGCCTTCGCGTGTCTACGAAATTCGCACTCTCCCGCCCATTTTCAGACGAGCCTGTAATAGCAGCGGCTGCAGCTCACGGTGAAAACCTCAAACAGAAGCCCAAAGCATCCACACCCCTCAGACGTACTGCCTCTGCCTCGCTTCCCATTCGTGCAAATCCGACTCCTACTCGTAGCGCCATCCAACCCGTCCTTACTTTCGCAACCGCAGAGCGCTACATCCCAACCCGTTTACGCTCTCGCCTACCTCCGCACTCGCAGAAATTGCACGACGCGTGGTGGGTTCCAAGGTGGGGTAAGGATGGAGAGGTTTTCGTGTTTCCGAATGGCAGTTTCGTGTGTTGGGGAACGACAGAAGAGGAAGCCCGACAGTTCGCGAAACGAGTGCTCGCGCCCTGTGAAGTAGGGTCACTTCGAGAGGCAGAAACAGAAAGCCTCGAATTCGTATCCGATCCCAGCGAGTATGCAATTTCTTGTCTCCTGCTCAACAACTCATAACCGTCACCTCACCGACCAGGAAAACGCGGATACAAGGTGACTTGATTATCCTGGGCCGTGTTGCGCCCCTTCAGGAGCCGGGGAGTGCCCCTGCTCTCCAACCACCTGATCCAGCTCTGGACACGGCGACCCTACTGGCTCGCTATGCCTTCTCACAGGCTCTTTCGCGGTCGACGGCACTAGCAGTCCTCGAAGAATCTCTCGAAGACTATCTCTCCTCGGTTGCACAACTTCCTCATGCTCTAGAGAAGACGGGAGAACCCGGACTCAGCCGGGAGGCATTGATCAAGAAACTCGGTGCACTTCTCAAGTTCCGTCAAGGACTAAACCTCAACCGCGAGAACTTTTCAGACATCCCTGACCTTTACTGGGCAGAACCAGAGTTAGAAGGTTTTTTCAAAGCCATGTCAGGAGCTTTGGAGGTCAAAATGCGAACAAATGCTGTCAACGAAAAGATCACTTATGCTACGGAGGTCAGTCGCGACTCTTAATACAGGTCAGGGACAAATTGGAAACTTGAGAGTCGTGATTATAGGTGCAATCTATTCTTCGTCAACTGCTCACTGAGGTACGTCGGTCAGCAATGACTCCGCTCGCGGTGACCCTGACCTCGTATTAGTCCACAGCACATCGGATGGAGTTGGTCATCATCGCGCTAATTGCGGTGGAAGTTGTCATTGTACGTCGCTAAGCACTCACTTTCCTCCGCTAAAGGTTAACCCTGTACGTCTGGAGGCACTCATACGGGACGGTCCTGAATTATGGCACATGGCCTTTGGGCAGTCTTAAGAAAATCATCTCAAGACAAGCGCAACGTAGCCTTTGTCATCTTATTCTCTTCTTCACAGTATCATGGAATATCATCTCTCTCCTATAGTTACTTGTGTATCTACACCACTTAATTATCATCTCCGTTATATCACCCTTCAGCTAACTCCTGGAGTTTGCGAAGCGCGCCGCTTGCTCAAACGTTGCCAACTTCGAGCCTCCACACCAGATCACCCTCTTGTTTCCGCACCAAACTCTCTCTTCAGGTCTTAGAACTTGGCGACTGGCACACGCCCTGCAACTCTGACTTTGACTTTATTTGGACATCTACGGCCTCTACGTAATTACGAATTTTGGTCTACTTTTTCTTGGTTCGATAGTCCTCGTTGTCGCAGTATCCTTGCTTACTGTCCCGAGGGTTCGTAAATATATCATGTTCGATGCTGGTGAGATTCGGGTCGGACATGAACATAGAGCGATACAACTGGAAGCTTCCAACTGTCTCGTTCTATGTATGGTACCCCATGGAAGGCCTTACTGACATGGTACAAGACGTCTCCAAGCCTACGATCCGGACTCCATTCACAGCACCTGTCCTCAGTGGGATCACTGGCTGGTATGGGGATGTATTTCCTTCCCAGATCAGTGAATGGGAAAACACCATCACGAGACACAAGGAAGGTGCATGCATACGCTTTCCAATGGATTGTCGTTACTATATGAGGTCTTGGTTTCATATGATGGTTTGATTGATCAGCAAATCCCCCACCTTGGAGTTTGTCTATCGGCCCTGTGTGCGGTTTGCAAGTCCTGCTCGACACCTTTGCCTTGGTGTGACTGACGCTCATGACTCGATAGCGTGATATAGCAGCTATGCGGGCTGCGATCTCGCATGTTCTGTTGTGGGATGCCTTTTGCTACTAGACTACTTCGTCACCCTCAGACTCCTACTCACTTCAGGACGTTTGGGATCCACGGTAAAGAGACTTGTGGGCGAGAGGTTGGAACCGCTCTCTGAAGAAGGATCAAGGATTAGATGCGCGACATCTTCCATGGGTAAAGTTTCCGGAGGATTTGCATCACTACATTTTACGACCGTCTTGCGCATCACTACGAGATCTAGACGACTTGTCATCACCCAAACTTCCAGATGACATTTTCGATGGTGCCCGCAACTCTATGGTGGTGTTGGGGATAGCTGTATCGACGCCTTGCACCAAGTCCGTTAACGAGGGCATTGATCTGCACGACGAACACTGCACAAAAACTTTCCGCCTCTGTGTTAACTCTTTGATACGCCAGTCTCCCCACAGTTGTCTTCCGAGGGCATCAGAACTTGCAAGGCACTGGACTGGGATTACTTTGAGGAACGTTTGTATAACCAGCTCCACCTAGGACGAATCTGAGGGAGATGGCAAACAGTCGCGCCTTAAGGCCTGACCATTGTGCGTATCGCGATCGGATATGTCGTGCTTGTGTAATAAGAGATACCCAGCTGCAGTATATACACCAGAGATCGGGGCTGCAGAATAGGTATACTGGATTGAAAGTAGCCAAATTTCGTGCGCGATGTAAAGGCCATCTGCTTCTATACGGGCTGTCCATATCAAGACCGAATGGATGGCGATCACGTGTACTTGTACGGCATGCAACATAGATTGCACTAACACAAAACGGATTAGTTCCCGCCACTACACTATACCACTATACCACGGGACTAAAGCGATCTTACCGTGACGTAGTACATCGACCAGACTACCCAGAATGAAGAGCTCACACCATGATACCGTTGAGTTTTCGCGGCAGCCTAGCTTTTCCAGTGCAGCTAGTGTACATGTGACATTCCCCCTATCTAACACACGTCCATAGAAAATCCGAATTAGTGAGCGTTGATAGACATGAGTGCAAAACGAATGACTGAGGTGGGTTGCAGTAGACAAGTACCCTATCTGAATTGCTAGACACAAGAGTGTAGTGTCTCTTGGAAACGGTCACCCAATTATGAAATTAGGAGATGCCACACCACTGGTAGTTGACTGCGCGGTGGCTTCTCGTCTCGGATCACGACTCCGAGTTCGCCAGCCCGCCTGGCAGCGTCTGCATCCCCGTGGATACCACGTGCAAATTGTACAATCTATGCACACCGCGCAATGAAAGTCGCGGTTTATTCGTCGACCTAGTCTCCGTCGTGACTTGTGCGGATCAATTCCTCCGCAGTTAGTGACCGCGCCTTGATAGAGCAGCAAAACGGCTTCGGACGACTATCACATATCACTCGGTTAGCATCTCCAGTGGTCTGAAAAAGAAACGGATGCGGACTTCGATAATCCACCTGTGAACTCTGGAATCACATTGATCTCGTTGCCGCAATGGTCCCTGGCCTTTTCAATCCGCATGGTGGCCAGTACTGATACGATGGTAGCCCAGACGGTTTGATCAGCGACGTACTTCCCAGGGCAGTAGCGACTACAAGGAAATGTTCAGTCCGAGCACTTGGTGGAATCGGCAGCGAACGCACCGTCCGAAACCGAACGGATCAGTTGCAGTACCCTCTGCCAGGTCCCCTGATGGTGTCAGGTGCCGCGCAGGATTAAAGATCAGAGGATCCGGAAAGCGACTTTCGTCATGAGCCATAGCCCTGGATTTATGCACTACCAATCAGCCCAGAAAACCCTACGAGAGATCACTATCGCACCATAAGTTGGTAAGGATGATTGCGCCTGATTTAAGGTTGATCATGTGAAAAACGGCTTAACAAACGCATTAACTTGCCTTTGGGTATGTACATCCCCTCAAAAATATCGCTTGTCGTCGTCATGTGTGGAAGACCTATTATTTGGTAGATTTGCCTGAGTACGCATGACTTTCATTCATTTGAGGTAACTAACCCATAGGGGATACCGGGTGCCACCTGAAAGTCTCCAAAAACACCCCTTCGACGTAAGGGAGGTTCGGTCTGTCATTAAAGTCCGGAAGGCGATCGGAACCCACGACACGGTCGATCTCTTCCTGAGCTTTAGTCTGTACCTCAGGGTGTAGCACCATGGCGAGGACGAAAACAAGGAGAGTGGCATGAGTCTGTCGGTTAATCAGAAAATATCCACACAACGTGCACAACTATCACGGACGGTTTCCACACCACCTTGGTCTGATATGAGTCGACTCTAATGACTAAGTGGGACCCACTCACCCAAAAAAACTGTCGCTGCCACAGCTTTTACAGCATCATCGTGACTTTGACTACTCCCGTATGATCCCCGGATTAGATCATACACCATGGACTTCGTGGCCGTGCCAGCATCCTGTGACGACCACCGATCAGCGGATTGTCCAAAAAAGACATGAACAAGCACGTACTATGCACCCTTTCACATAATCAACTGGTCCGTCCAAGATGTCCCTCGCAAGGATACGACATTCCTTGGCCCGTTGTTTGTACCGTCCTCCCGGAAACCACGAAGGGATGTACGCCACTTGAATGCAGACTTCAGCTTCAAACAACATAAGCACGGAGAGACCTACAAAGTGGAATCACCCCGATTAAAGCGGCACGCTCCGGTGACAATGAGTCTAGAAACAGCGACAACAGTCGTACAAGCTTGGAAACGAAGGGGTCATTCTGTGGAGTAACGTCATAGCCGTATGCGACAGCCATGATAATTGCTGCTGATAACCTAGACGCTTATCAGATCCTTCGCGTCTAAGAAGAGACCCTGACGCACGTGTTGAAATGCTGGTAATATTCTTCTGGAGACGAGAGAAGGTTCCGAAGCAATTGGTGGACCTTCCGCACTTCCAGTAGTTTGTATGTCGCCGCAACTTCTTTGTTCAGAGCAACACGAAACATCCTGCGGTGCAACCTCCATTCGCTACCGTACGGTAGAAGACCGGTGTTGAAGTCCATGCCAAAACTGCAGAACACATCAGCGGCACGGTCATTTTATGTACGATTGCTTGGTGCCTACAGCTTGTTCGTAGGTATGTGTGGTCGATCCGAATATATAGTGGACCGCTGTTCCAGAAGTGCACGGGCGACTCTCTCACTGTTAACAACGATCAAGTCCTTACCAAGGAGCTTAGCGTGCAAGATGTCACCTATACAACTCTGAGGGTCATTCAATATCCACAGTGTAATACTTCACTTACCATACTGCTTCCCCCATTCTTCGTAGGTTAGCCAAGGTTCGGTGAAGTTTACATCAAAGACATTGCCAATCAAAGGCAACCCGCGCGGACCAGGAGGCAGCGGTAGCGGACCTCGTAGAGCCCGATTCTTGCATGCATAGAGCAAGGCCACGAAGCAGAGCGTCGAAGAGAAGTAGGTAAACGTGTCGCTACTGAGGGTCATCGTTAGGACTAGGGCGGTCACTGGGAAAAGAGCTTTCTCCATTTCTGTCTCATCTGAGAGCGTTTTATAGTCTTGTTAAAGTTTGGGAATGGCTCTTACGCAAGACACGGGATCCGCATCGGCACGAACTTTGAAGGACGTTGCGGAGTTCCACAGCGACTATTACTTACGTATTTTTCTTCTGTCAACATGTCATATCGCAGCAAGATGCGGTTCCGCTGGATTATTAGCTTGCAAAGTCACCTCCCGCAAACACATGACAACGAGAACCCCAAAGGTGAAGTATGACATACTACATTCGTAGCGAAACTTGTAACGTTCGCTGAGAGCCCATGCAACCGTCATGCATTGAATTTGGAGCCTTCGTATTGGACGACTTCTGTCCATTGCACAATCCGAGTAGCAGCAGCGACCCTGATCCAGACCTTACTAGTAATAATAAGCGAAACCGCACAACGCGTGCAATTAATCGTACCTAAACTTTACGAGATGTCCAGACTTACTATGTACTTGTTCCAGACATAAACCAAAATACAACCCTATCGAGGAATCCGAGAGTTCTAAGCACCATCAAAAGTGAGGACTGGCACCCAGCTAATGTTCATCGAAGGAACTACTCGTGACCATTCTCACGAAGTCGCTTCAAGGTCAGCAGTCCATTTTCTGTCAACAGCTTGCCGAGTTTATCGGTTCGATTGAAAAAGTTGTTGCTTGCCGCGAGTCATGATGCGTGGGGATGTTAGGCAATCACATCACCTACCGAAGCACTTCGAGTCGTTCATTTTGCTACTGTCACCTCCGTCGACCCTAATCTCAATGCCGGCATTTTCCCCCTTAAAATTAGTCGTGACAGGGAAAGCGTGCTCAATCACATAGTTGCTGTATTCACGTTCCCTAAAACAACGTTGAGGGTGACTATGAGCATCAGACAAGGAAGGGTTTTCACGCTCCTTGCCGTGTTGGAACAGTCGGAAACTTCCTGAGACTTACAATGAAAGACGAGGCCTATATAATATGGATTTCGAGCGATCTGTCGACACCAGAATCGACTCACCGTGTATCAAAGGCTTCGTTGGTATGTAAGTGGCACCTAACCATAAATATCGACCGAGTTTTCGGCCACTCGGTTTTGTATTCTGGGGGTCCGCCTTGTAGGAAGATCTCGATGCATATATAGCCAACTCATTGTTGTGGATGATTTTTTGAACCCACAGTGGTATCCACGATCTGTCTTTGACAAGTCAGTGTTCGGGTGTACAGGAGTAATAGCACTGCACCACCATGCCTTGCTGTCCACGACACAGCAGAGGCACGACTACGACCAGCCAGAAAGTCGGGATTCCCTATTTCCGTCCACATTGCGCATGTATTGCAGCTGATTGGTGCAAATTATGAGGTAGAAGTACAGTGGCAACCATTACCATCTCTACACAAGTTAAGAAGAAGAACAAACAGGAAACACAACACAAAGTTGAATCCCCAAGGACTCACATTAACGTCTCTTGGCTGGGGGCGTGTCAACGCCGTCCTCCATAGCTTTCCTCTTCGATCCGAATCCAAACACCACCTTCGTCCGCTCTCCAGTCGGCGTAGCGCTATGGGACTGTGACGGTGTGTCCACAGTAGACGATATCCTAGAGAAACCGGGCCTTGCGGTAGGAGCAGGCGACCCAGAGTCGTATCTTGGTCCAGCAGAAGAGAAACCCGAAGGCACCGGGCTCGCACCGTCTACGCTGGCGACACCGTTAATGGATGTCTGCGGGGCTTGCAGTGTGATAAGCCCCTTCTCGTCATGCATTTGTACCAAGCCGCTCTTTGCCCCGTCCTTTTTCTTGTTCTTGGCCTTCTCGGTTTTGCCTTTCGATAAAGGCGGGGGCTCCAAGAATTCAGAGGCTTGAGGGACCGCGCTACAAGAGACGTAGTTCGAATCAAAAACAGTGTTCATGTCGTGGCGAAGCCACTTACCCTCTATTTCCGACAGAGAGCACGAAGTGCGCTTGGCCAGTTTTCTCCTGTCGGATCTGGAAAGCACGGTTCATACTTAGTGGAGTGTCGCCGCTGGCCATGGCCTCTTTCTTCTTCTCCTCCGCAATCCTTTTCAACCGTTTTTCTGTCTTCAATTTGCCTGAACCCTTGCCATGGAACTTATGAGACAGCGCCTTCCACGCCTCCTTCGGTGTAAGCGTACGTCCAAACTCATCGTAATAAACGATGTTGACGTCCGGCTTGTAATCCTTGAAAAACTCAAGGTTTGCCCGGGACTCTTGCTGCTCGCGGAGACGGTTTTCATACTCGCGAGTCGCTTGGTCTTTATTGCCACCGCGGGATTGTAGCCGCTCCAGCTCTCGTTGTGCCTGTCGGCGCCGGTGCTCAGCCAACCAAAAGTCACGTTGCCGCTGGACCTTTTCCCGTTGAGTGAGGTCAGCTGTTGGTTCAGCCAGCAACCCTTGTTGCCTAAGCAGGGCCAGTGTGCCAGCCATTCCGGAGCTGTAAGTCTGTTCACTGGCAGTCCCAACTTCGAGCCCCCGCTCCACAACAGCACGTTCCTCTGCCTCAGTGGCTTTGATGGCAGCTTCCACGGCTTCTAGCATCGCCTCACCATCTTCATCTTCATCCTCTTCCTTTACAATCACTTCGCCCGCCTCGAGTTCATGAATCGTTTGATCGCCCGGAGTGGCTGAAGTCTGCCTGGAAGGCGGTCGCTGATCAACGGAAGGTCCAGCTGGGGGCCCACCTTGCTCGGTCTTCGCCGGTGCCGAGGTGTACGATATACTACGAACGAACTCAGAGGTGTCATCGAATACGAGGCCTGTTTCTCCACGGTCTCCATCAAGTTCATCTATCTTCATGGCGTCAAGATGGACCGATTGCTCTCGAAATTGTTGTTCGGCAACTGTTTTGGAAAATGATGCTGAGTGATGTTGAAGGACATTCAATATGGTCACTCACGTTTACGAGCAACCTCTTGCGGTGTCAACGTTTTTGGTTTATGAATCTTTGCTCTTCTTGAGCGGGCGAGAGCAACTTGTAGCTCATCGTCATCGATAAAATTAGCGTCTAACTCACGTGGCCTGGGCACAAGTGGCTTCTGATCCACCTCCATCTGGTTCTCATCCTTGGCATCCGCACCATCATCGACGTCGATTGCAGTGCGTCTAGCCAATCGCTTCTTTTTAGTCTGGTAGGGCGTTAGGGTTTCAGTGTCTGGGACGTGCCAAAAACAGTCGGACATACCTTTGGCTTCTTGAAGCCGACGTCACCCTCGCGAAGGTAGTCGGTTGTTTCCAAGTTTTCTGAACACCAGTACTCAACTGTCAGGTCACGAATGTCTTTGGGGCGACACTTACTGGTATAGTCTATTGATAACAAAGTTCGATTGACTTTAACAAGGTCCTCCTCAGGTTCAACCACCTTCGCCACCTGAGTAGGTGTAACAGAGCTACCCAGACGAAATCCCTGTAGTAATGGCAAATCGGTAAAGTTTGCGTACTCGCCAACAAGTAGGTGTCGTACCGTTTCCCGGGAACCCTCCAGTTCCTCGTCGTACTTGGCAAGTATGGATCGTTTCATGCCTTGCTTCCCGGTAGCGAATTCGTCATCGTCGTAGCCGGTGTAGTCACGTCGCTTGATTTTCATTTCAACATTTTTTCGCGTCCGTTCTTCCTCCGCCAAGTCTATGTTCTGTAACTCGTCCTCTGGAAGTGAATGATATCAGAAACGTGAACTTTGTGTCTGCAGGAAAAAATACCTTCGTTGTCGAGGATGCGGCTATCTTTTAGGGTGAGTACATGGGCATCGCCTTCCGCTAGCTGCTCCAAATCGTGGCCAACCTTCAAACCAACCAAATCCTCTGAAACAAATCCAAGAGAATATCAGGCGTATGTTTCCAAAGTACTTGGGAAAAACGCACTCTCTGTGTACTCCTCACCCTGAAAAGCCTTGTCCATATTTTCTAACTCTTGTTGGCGTTTCCTTGCGAGTTCTTTCTCTCTCTTCTTCGCTTTCTTGATCCATTTTAGCGTATCTTCTGTGTCGCCGTCGGGATCACCAAGAGTTGCTCCGGAGAGAGAACTACCCAGTTCTCGTCTATTCTTCACCCTACACAAGTCAGGAATATGAGCAATGGCTCATTCGGAGGAATGTTTGGGCCTATATGCCCAACATAGTGGAAATAAAAGTATCTTTCTGACGTGCATACAAAGTACTCACTTCGCTATACGGTCATAGATCTTTCTGGCAACACGAAGACGATCAACGTCAGTGACATGCGTATATGCAAAAGAAAGTCATGACATACTTGGCCTCGCGTTCTTTGTCCTCCCTTTCTCGATGCTTGGCGTAGTTCTGCTCTGCTTGTTTGTCCGCATCGTCGGCAGGTGCAGCATCCTCCGTGAGAGGCTTGAGACCAAAGGATATACGGATTCTGTTAGTTTCTTCGAGACTGATGCTTTCTTCCATCGACATGGCAAGAACGGGTCCTTGTGGCAAGGATAGAAACCAACCGTAGGTGGAGTGGTCAACGTCACCGTCAAACGACGGCGCTGAAGGTACGAATGTGTGGTCGGCAAGCCCCGGATTTGTCAGCGAACATAGGTCCCTTCCTGATTTGGTTGTTGTATTTAGCCGGGCCTCAAAAGCTGGCATTACCAACTAGGGACATGAGAATAACGATGTACATATGTAAGTTTCTGTGGGCGACACCTCGAGGCAGACACCCTCCGGGCCTCGTGTCCCTCACTAAATGAACAGATCAACAATCAATGACATAGCTCGCCACTCCGCTAACCGATTATGTTATCCTCAATCACATTCCCATTTGCGAAGAATACAGCCGCGGAGGAGATTGAGCTGAACCTATAAGATGGCGGTAATAAGCGTGCTCTACCGAGGTACCCATCACTTCTTCACAGGTCTTCTCCACCCTCCCCATGGTCACCTCAACGGATTTTGGCTTGTCTGCACTTGCCTTGGTGTCCCTCCTCGCATGTGGGATAGCAAGCTGTTGGCCAACTCGGAGAAAGCATACTCCATTCCCCCCTGGTCCTAAACCGCTCCCAATAGTGGGTAACATTTTGGGGATAAATCCGGGTGCACCATGGGTTTCATACACAGAGTGGGGGAAAACCTACGGTACCTTCCACCAAGCTTTCGTCGTAGGTATCCCCTGATCTTCCCCTACCAGGTGAATTGGTCTACTCTCGTATACTAAACCAAGAGATCATCATAATCAACTCAGAGGAGCTGGCAAGGGAGCTCCTCGAGCGACGTTCCAGCAATTATTCTGATCGTCCCGAAATTATCCGGATGACCAATGATTTGTGAGTTGTTCCTCGTGTAAACCCTGCTCTGAGACTGCAACAGACACTAATAACATAAAAAGCTTTGGATGGTCTTTCAACACGGTCATGATACCCTACAGCAACAGATGGCGACTTCACCGCCGCTTGTTCCACCAGGCATTTCGTGCCGAAGCAGCCCTTAGCTACCGACCGATGCAAATACGTAAAGCGCGGGAGTTGCTGGTGAATTTACTCGAGGCTCCAGTTGATTTCCCCGCGCATTTCAAAACGTTTGTCGACGCACAATTTCACAGCCTTGAAACTTAATAGAGTCGCTGCACAGATATTCTGCGTCTGTTATCATGTCGATTGTATACGGCTACGAGCCTGCACCTCGAGATGACCCGATCATTTCAATTGTCGAGAGAGCCGTGGATCTGGCTATAGAGTCCATCCGGCCCGAGGTTGCAGCGTTTTTGGGTTTGTTCCCCTTCGGTAAATTCCTTTCCCCTCGCTGGCAGTATTATTTTGCCTGAGAACTACCTCTAGTGCGTTACGTCCCCTCTTGGCTTCCGGGAGCCTCCTTCAAGCGAACAGCCTTGCGTTCTCAGAAGTATGCTGGCGACATGGTTGACGCACCTTTCCAATATGTGGAGAAGAGCATGGCAAGTATCATCGCTTTTTCATATGTTCGTGGCAGTGAACTATCCTAGGACGCAGGAACTGCGATCCCATCTATGGTTACTGACTCTTTGAGACGAGTTTCGACGGATGATGAAAAGTACTCCCAGGCAGTCAGAGAATCATCAGTGACAGCCTTTGCTGGTGAGACACTATCATTCTCCTATGTCCCCTTCCTAAGTACGTTAATATCTGTCAGCTGGCTCGGAGACGGTAAGTCGCTTGGTCTCGATTTGGTGGAATGCCTCTGAATCATTCCGGACAGACTGCGTCAACCTTGTTGGTATTCATCTTGGCTATGGTGCTCTACCCTGAAGTGCAGCAACGCGCTCAAGCTGAGCTAAACTCGGTTTTGGGTACTGATCGGCTCCCCGATTTTGAAGACCGGGCTTCCCTGCCCTACGTGGAAGCTGTTTACCGGGAGACTCTCAGGTGGTTCCCCACCGCACCGCTGGGTAAGTCGCTCCAGTCCGGCGCTGCAACATCACTAACTTGCCAACAAACCAGGTGTCCCGCACGCAACCACAAACGCCGACGTGTACAACGGCTACTTCATCCCGCAAGGTGTGTTGCCAGCAAACAGATCGTTGATTCTCCACCGGCTAAACTTTGGCCAGGTGCAACGATAATTACGAATACATGGTAGGTCCCTTCCCAGCTGACAAACCGCGATTTGCTTGACACTCTTCAGGGCCATGACACGTAACGAAGCCAAGTATCTGAGTCCAGAAGAGTTCTGTCCCGAGCGTTTCTTCACAGCTAGCGGCGAGCTTAACGACGATAATGTAAACTACGCGTTTGGAGCTGGGCGTAGGATATGCGCTGGGAAGTATATCGCAGACGCATCGGTCTGGTCAGCTATGGTCTCCATTTTAGCAACATTCAACATTACGAAATGCAAGGACGAGCAAGGTAACGAACTCCCCGTCAACCCCAAGTGGGTTGCTGGTGTCACCACGTATGTGTCCTGGCCTCACAACCGCAAACATCTAACGTTCTGGGTTCTCTAGTCGTCCTTACGACTTCCAATGTAACTTCGTCCCGAGGTTTTCCGGACTTACTGCTGAAAGACTGACGCAGATGTTCTGAAACCCTTGGATTCTTTCCTATCAAGTTATCTCACCCGCTTTCAATATGCCATTGCCTGGTCCTCGTTGGCTACCTGCTGCCGGGTCAGGGGTTGTAGTAATCCTGTTGTTTGTATGTAGTGTAAACACCACCCTGTAGCTTCTGACTGTGATGACTTCTGACGATCTCGACGAGCTCAATATGTTTTTGATAGTCCTCTGCGCACTACCGTACCGCTCAGAAATTATGCCGCTTATTTGAAGCCAGACAAAATACACCCTGGGTCGCTGCCTCTCCGCGTATTACCGGGAAAATATCATTCTCAGGAAAGTGTTTTGCGGAAGATTGTCTAGCCACGGTTGCCGGACAGTGAACTTCAAGTTCCTTTACTCGCTTTCAGGGCTTAGAACTTAGAACGCAACTCCCGATCAGCGTTGGTAGCTTATAAATTTAAGTAGTTCGAGACAACACTCTTACCAGGAGCACGCATATAACAGTATCTGCACGAAAAAAATGCCAGGAACAGTGGGGCGAGCAAACCAGTGCTACACTGATTTCCTGTGTTAAACGGCCTGCCAAATTCCTTAGAAACAAGCGATCAGTGACGTGGGAGTTGAGAATAAGATCAAGAGTCAAATCGCGATAATGACAAAGATCTCTCAAGGACGAAAACGCGCGCGGCATCTTACCAGGCGTAGCCACACAAAGCCTCGAGAAATGCATGGAAGGAAATGTACCTGGGGCATTCGCGATCTGTCCAGTTGCACCGCCGAAATTCACCGCAGTTATGGTTCCCGCTGCTCCAGGGGTCAAGGGGAACTCTCAGATGATGTTGCAGGGACAGTCAATCGTGGGAGTACTGAGACATAGCGATGGTGAGCACAGCGTGGTCCAGCCGTGGGAAAAATATCCGCACCTTGCGTGTCATGGGGACCACAGAACATCTCGTCCTCAGCACTCTTTGGAGGCAGAAGGTCTGAGCGAGTGCGATCCATCTGCAAGATCTTCGAAAGGCCGGAGTGGCGTGGAAAAGTGAGGCAGGAAGTCCAACATGGGTGGAGCGGCCCCGCCGCCTCGATCACGGAGAGCATCAGAACACTGCCTATGGGTACATACCAATCGAAGACCGCCACACATAGCAAGTGAAAGCAGCGGCCTGCCGCTCCGATCACGGGTTTCAGAAGAACATCACTACCCATGGGTACGTACCATTTGGAAGGTCGCCATACATAGCAAGTGAAACCCAGCGCATGGGGTCCTCTATATGGTGTCTTCGGGCGATTGAGCTCTTGGGAACCTATGGTCTACATAAGTCTAAAAAGGGTGAAACACACAGGAATCCTCCCAGTTGACCAAATACGTGTCAATAACGCGCTCCACGCGACGCGTTGCAGAATCATTCCAGTCGCACATACCAGCTCGAAAACCAGATCGTTGCACGTGTGCTACACCAGCAATGTTCCTAGCCGAGCAAGCCATAGCAGACGTTCCTTCAGCTCCAGGAAGATCAGTTCCGCTCACGGAATCATACACTCATCATGGACTTACACCTACTGCGCCTGGTCCATACATCCTGGGTGTAGACGAAGCAGGTCGAGGTCCCGTTCTCGGACCCCTCGTTTATGGTGTTGCTTACTGTCCACTTGCATGGAAGCCGGAGCTGGACAAACTTGGGTTTGCCGGTGAGCAAACGTCACTTAGAGCTTTCCCGGCTGCAACTCCGATCCTTTTACAGACTCCAAGACCTTGACTCCGTCAAAGAGAACAGAACTATTGGGCGTGCTTAACTCCGACCCGGAGAATCTGGGTTGGTCAGTGCGCGTAATTAGGTACAGGTTTTCCTCACTCTCCTACAGCAAGTTAATCAGCAACTCCTAGCCCCCAGGCAATATCCAGTGGTATGTTAAAGGCTCCTCCGACCAATTTGAACAAGCAATCACAAGATGCGACAATTCTACTCATCCGTGAAGTGCTCCAGCGGGGCATACAACTCTCAGAGGTGCACGCCACTCACCATTCTACATGTGACTTTCGACTAGGTCTCACATTATGTAGGTGTATGTTGATGCTTTAGGAACGACCACGACCTACGAGGCCTACTTGTCTTCGTTATTCCCGGAAATCCAGTTCACTGTCACCCAGAAAGCGGATTCGAAATTCAAGATTGTAGGCGCAGCCAGTGTTGCTGCAAAAGTGACCAGAGATGCATGCATAGAATCATGGACATTCGAAGAACCTCAGAACATGGCAGCCGATGAGAAAGTATTCAGCAGAAATTTTGGAAGCGGCTATCCGTCAGGTTGATTGGTATATGTTTATCTGGATCGCATGCTTACATCCATGCCTTAGATCCGAAGACACAAGAATGGATGAAGGATACACTCCACCCAACATTCGGCTTCCCTTCAATGGTACGATTCTCGTGGACGACAGTGAAGGTCCTGTTGGAGAAATCTGCACATCCCGTGAAATGGTACGTGAGCAAGGCGTTCCTGAACTTGAGGGTCCCAATAAATGAATCCAGGATTGATGAGGGGCAGGAGTCTTCTGTCGCTGCGTTTGGCAATGGCAGAGGTAGAGATAAAGACCGAACCATCGTCGCCAAAGATCTCTGTCTACACAGCGTTGGCATATTGTAATGTTTGGCGCGTCGCATTCATACAATCAGACTCACAGTCAGCGGGAAAATCCTTCCGGAAATAACCAGTTCTTGTCCACGGCGGTTGTGAAGGGCCACCGGGCATTCTACATTCATGTGATTTACAGTAGGATCAAACATCCTCAGTTGGTGATACCTAACATGATATTTCTTTGCTATTGCTACAGGCGCAAGTGAGCGGTGTCGGGAGCATCACTAATATAATGGCCCCTGGACTCTCAAAACTCTCCATGCCGAGCCAGAGCTTCCTGAGCACGTTTGTGTGCTTCACAGCTGACTGAGCACATGCGTCGGAGGAACGAAAGAAACAGTAGCTAACCTTCGTGTTTAGCACGCTGTTTGTCAAGCTCGTCCATTCCTTTTGTCTTGGCAATACGATCAATGAACCCGCCGGTCAGAGCTGCCCTGCATGCTATAGATTAGGGAGGAGCAGGATTTAGGTATCCAACAGCGTACAAGAGCTCGACTGCCTTCTGATGGTTGACTGGTTTACTGTTCTTTGCAGCATGGTGCTCGTAGGCCTTTGCTGCCTGTGATGGATGTGGTCAACCGAACGCCGTCTATCGTGTTGTCCCATACTTTGTACGACGCAGCGGCGGCGATGAGCTCGTGAGAGAGCTTAGCTGTGTGGCCACCCCCGCTGGTTGGCTTGTGCGCAGCTGCTTCCGCTGAATCTTCCTTGAACCACATGCCTATTGCGCTGAAATTAAGAGGTATACCTGGTTGGATTCTATTGGTTCAGCAGGGTGCCAAACCCTGGGGGTTTATAGTCTTCCTGTGCGCCTGGCATGAGTGAAAAGCTATGAGTTCCACAGAGCGTGGCGCAGCATGGCCGATGATATCATACTTTCCCCTGACGCACTCTAGTGGCACCCACTACTCCCAGAACACTGCTCCTCGTCACACCTTCTGATAGGGAAGTTGCCTACGAGGGGTCCAACCACGTGTTCGTGCGACAACTTGAATCCAAGACTTGAAGCCCGTAGCTAACACAGTTCTTATCAGAAATAGGAGAAAGGTGTATGCCCCAACGTGTCTATGTAATCATACTAGCATTGCACCTGAGTCAGTTAATTATAGGGGTGATTAGCTTCAACAAAATTGCCATGTTCAACCAGTCTCACCCTGAAGTACAAGAGCATCACCAAGAAGTTCAGGAGATTGAACATGATGTATGAGCTGAAATTATACAGATATGTAGGGATGTAAGTTGCAATCTCACCTGTTGAATTGCATGTTTGACTAGACATGCTTTATGATCAGATGATAACTCTTTTAGAGCAACTATGGCAGAACATTTAATGTCAACAGCATTGAGACAGGGGCAGAAGAAGTCACTGGTACCACTGAAACTGGAGTGTGAGTTTGCCTTGTACTGCTTTCTTGGAACCAAGTGCAAGTCCTAACTTTGGTCCAGGAGGGAACAGGCCGGCCAGAAACAATGGGTATGTTTCTGCCTGTTAGTGGCAGTCATCTGGAACTCACCACAGTAGGGGTGAGCACACTCAGGACAAATCACAACAAGACAGAACATGGACAGGCATGTGGGATTGAACAACCAAGCATACTCTCTGATGCAAGATGATGGAGAGAGAAAGAAAGAGGAAAAAGAAGATATTGTCCATGATGCAGACAGCACCAGTATATATATCCCCAGTGTCCAAACAACACAACACAGCAGGGATCTGCTGTCACACACCAAAGGTGTTGTGGACATGGTTACAGCTGACTCTGCCTAACTCATCAACAAGTTGCACACAATGCCCATGCCATGCAGACAAAGACTAAAGGCCTCATGCATAGAAAGACTGCTGGACATGAGCAGTCATCCTTTGCACAAGAATGAGTTGTCAGTGCTAAAGAGAAAAGAGGAAGCAAGTTAAGTGCATGTTAAAGGTTTTTAGCACCTGTGCTACAGCATTCTGGTTTTTGTCATATCTCCACCATTTCCAAAGATATCAACTCCATTCTCACACTTGCTTAAAGTGCTCAGCCACATGATTCTGCCTTCCAAATTTGGAGAGGATCCTTGCACACTATGCATTTCTACAGCACTCCATCCATCAGATGCTCATTTCACTGAGTCCATCAGTAATGGCCACCTCTTCATTGATCATCTTGCTTGTCTCATTTTCCAGAGACAGTGGCTATGTATATCTACCAGGTGTTCCCACCAGCTTCTGTCCTGAAGCCCCCTGGTTCATTCCATCATTGTCAGCCCTGTCCCATCCCATGCAGCTTGGTTCAGTGTGTTCTCCATTGTCAGTATGACTTCCATGTTGGGACATAAAGTGCCCCTGTGGTACTTGACCACTGTGCAATGTTTTGGCTGCTTACATAAGCTGAAATAGTGCACATACTTGTAGTATTTCCTACTAGTATTCCCTCAGTAGTTTGTTCACTACTGAGGGTAAGTCCATTCATATTACAAGTATTCTACCATACTGACATCCTGTAGTAGCCTACAGGTATATCTAATATATCAGTAGTTTGTTCACTACTGAGGTAGCCTACAGATATTTCTACAGGTTATGAGCCCTGCCTAGCATGGTGAAAATTTTCATATAGGCAAGACCTTGACTTGTAGAGACTTGAAGTCTCATACAGAAAGTACAACTACTCAAATCTTCTCTACTACTCTCAAAGCTACTGGAATCTATATTATGGACATACCCAAGCTCATGCACAATGGCCACAACTGGAACCACTATGGGGAGTGTGTTCTGCAGGCAGTTGATGAAGAAGGCTTGATGGGGTTCCTAAGAGCCCTGTTCAGAATGCCAGTTGAAAATTTTTGAAAAAAAAAAGATACAGAAAATTTCTCTCACTGGTGTCAGGTGACATAGGTTGTGGGAACATGATTAGGTAACCTTGTCCTGTTTGTCACTCCCCTGGGAGTCCTATGCAGTGAGCCACCTGACATGTCTGATTCATCCAGGCAATGGATCTAGGCAATCTCTTTGCTTGAGTGGCCCAGTGGATCCTACCATTCTGCAGAATGCTGGTAAAAGACCTACCCATGCACAAAGCTGTCTCTGGAACATGGAGGAGGAGATTGCTTCTCCTTGAATTCTTACTTGAGTCTTTGCCTCATGCCAGCAATGGAGGGTTCAAGGACACAGTTTTCAAGGCAGCAGTGGCTCATTTGAGAGCCAAGTTTCCAGTGTACAAAGGTGCACCAAAGCATACATCAGCATGCAAAAGCAAGTACCATGGAGATGTGAGTAGCATCTTATTATTATCTTGCTGTCTGATGTCTTTGTAGCTCAAAAGGATGTATGCTCTTGTGAATGATCTCAGGAGTGCATCAGGTTGGACTTGGTTGGATGAGCATGGTTGTGGAATTACAGATGACAATGATCCTCAGTGGCTTGCATGGGTGCAGGTATTGATTGCTCTTATCTACCTGTGATCACACATGCTTACCATAATTGTAGGCTAATCGCAAAGTAGAGAAGTTCAAGAACACTGGGTGGCCTCACCTCCATCTCATGGACCAGCTCTTGCCTGGAACAGAGAAGGGCAAATATGTCATCCATCCTCCAAGGGGAAAATCCAAGAAAAAAACAGATACACTGGCCCCCAGCACCCAGTCAACTTCCAATCAGGTGGCATCAACTTCACTTTCTCCCTTTGTCATTTCTCAAACTCCCAACACACCAGCATCAAGTTCCCCCACCCCCTTGCTGTTACATCTCACCCCTATTTTTCCTTTTCCTTGTTCACATTTGTCTTATTTTGATCTGATGGACTACTTTTCCTTTTTGAGCCATCTTCTCATTGATCTGACAGCTCTCTATTTCTGCCACTAGTGTTATGTGCTCATTACATGCTTAGAATATGTGTCATCATTGTTCAACCAATGGCATAGTTACCTTGATACATGTGGACACCTCATGGTCCATCCTTTGTACAGTATTTAGTCTGTCAGCTCAAGTCCTGGAAACCCAGACTTGAGCTGCTCAATCATATGCAGTGTTCTCTCAGAACTTCACCCTCAGTGTCCCTAACCTGGACCACTCTTACCAGCATTGCCCAAATCCTCTGTCATTTACAGAGGTTACTGCAGCCATTGCTCAGTAGAAACCCATAGACTGCATTTGAGCTCTCCCTACATCTTGACTTTGGTTGAGTGTAACAAAAGCTCAAGTCTACCAGCCTTTGGCTGAATTGGTCACTGATTAGTGCACCACCACAAACCCCCAAAACAATCAATGTTGGGTGCCATTGTGACCCACTTGTGAAGAATCATCATCTGATGAAGAACAGGAGAGCACTGTCACTGACACCTCCTCCAACAAACCTGAACAACTGGATAGAGGATTCACTTCTGGTATCCTCTCGAACCTCTTTACTCAGTCCCTTGCCACACTCAGTACTCCCATCCCACCAGTACCTGCCACCACCTTCCCCACACCCCCACCTCTACCACTGACTATGATGTCCAGTTCATTGTCAAAGGCAATGGTCAGTGCTATTGCCACCAAAGCCACCAAATTGAAGATTGGTGCCCCATCTGATTTTGATGGCAACCAGAAGAATGCCATGAGTTGGCTGTACTTCATACAGACTTATCTCTTGGTAAATGAAGAAATTTATGACAGTGACACCAAGAAGGTTGTCTATGCCTTGTTGTATATGAAGAAAGGAGTTGCTCATTCCTGGGCAGCTACCTTCCAGAAAACTTCTCTGGAAAAGAACCCCCTGAGTTTCAGCACCTTTGCTGATTTTACAAAAGACTTCAAAAGTTCTTTCACATCCTCCAACACTGCTGGTGCTGTGATCACCAAGCTATGCACTATGAAATAAAAAGAATCAGTGGAACAATATGTCACTGATTTCTGAACTGCTGCTGCCAACTCAACCATCATGGAAGATGCTGTGTTGATCAAGTTCTTCTTGCAAGGACTCAAACCCTTCATCACAAACCAAATCCATATGATGGAAACCACTCCCACCAAGATTACTGAGTGGTACACACAAGCCCAGAAGTTTGATGCAAAGTGGAGGAAGGTGAATGAACTTTCTGGAAAGAAAGAAAAGAGGATGTTCCACCCCAAGAACAACCTTGCTGAAGAAAAAGATCCTAACACTATGGACATGGATGGAGTGAGACCCTCCAAAGAAGAAAGAAATTGCCACATCAAGGAAGGAAGATGTTTTGAATGCAGCAACAAAGGACATCTCTCTCAAGAGTGTCCCAACAAGGGGAAAAACCCCCAGAAAAAGGTGAAGAAAATCCACAAAGTTGTAGAAATTGAAGAAAGGGATGATGAAGAAAAAATTGCTGCCCCATCCATCACTCTGGTAAACATTGCTAGAGCACTTGGGAAGGATTTTTAGAAGGGAACTCTGCATTGATGCCAGACATTCCCAAAACTAAGGACAGTTTGATTTCTGTTGTGCCTGTACTAGTATCTTCTACCCCAGATCATACTATGCAAATTCCCATCACCCTCTACACATCAGAAAGAACTGAAAAAGTCATCAAAATCACCACACTGGTCGACTCTGGTGCAGAAATTTCTTGTATCAACTGGGGATTTGTGCAAAAACATTGAATCCCTACTCAATGACTTGCTGAACCCATCCTTGCTAAAAACACAGATGGAACCCTGAACTCCAAGGGAAAAATCCTATTCTCCACTACTCTCTATTTCAAGGTTGAAGGGATCATCCATCAAACCTTCTTCCATGTCATTAATTGTGGGATGGAGAGTGTCATCCTAGGTCTCCCTTGGCTTCAAGAAAACAACCCTGTCATCAAATGGAGAATGGGAACCCTCTCCATCAATGAAAAGACCAACAGGTCAAAAGAGTTGAAATGCAACATCTCTTCTGTTGCAGTTGAAGAACCCATCATGAATCTTGTG